GTTCTCAGCAACTGTCTCACTGGGCTATCATTCCCTCATTTCCCCTTCCACTGAGGTTTTTCTTCCCATTTCTACTCACCCCAAGAGCGTAGGGACCGGGGAGCAGGCCCCATGTTATTATCCCGCGCCCTGAATACTCATCATGTAGCAGCTCTGCAGCCTTCGCACCTACACCAGAGAAGCCATCGTGTAGGTCGCACAGGACCTGGAAGCCCTAGAGGTGAATGATGAGCAGAGTGAGCCTTGGTGGGGGTGGCTCGGTGGAGCGTAGTCCCAGGCACCAAAAGGTTGCTGGCTCTCGGAGAGGTTGTGCAGGAGGCAGCCAATTGATGTGTTACTCTCACATTGTTTCTCTCCCTCCCTCCCTCTCCCCTTTCTCTCTTCAAAAATCAATTTAAAAACCTTTAAAAAAAAGTAGAGTTTACCCCAGTGTCCACTGTGCCCCTCAGCTACCTGCAGGTAGTCACATTCCTCCACGTAGAAGTGCAGCCTGTCCTCCAGCTCCTCCAGGTACCGGGGTTCCTTCAGGACACTCTCCCCTTGGCCGAAAGCCTCCAGGCGACCTGCTTCGCTATCATGCAAAACACAATCCGGGACTTACAGGGTCCTGCCCCCCCCCCCCCCCCATCTCCCATCCAACATTGGTAGGGACCCAGTTTCTTGCCTCACAGCCTCTGGGGCACCCCATACCCATCGTGGTTGTACTTCTGAATCATACAGATGCTCCGGGGATGGAGATGCACTCTGAGGAAGTCTGACCAGACCCTGATGCTGCCCTCTGTGGGGACAAGTGGCTCTGGAGTTGCAGCAGTAGTGAGTGCTGTGAGACCTGAAGGAAAATTAGAGGAAATTCACCTTTTTCATGTTCCCGCTCTGCCCACTTCCCACCCTGCAGCGGCGTCTAAAGGCAGAAGGCTCACCCTCCCTGATCTCGCTGGCCACACCCTGCAGCCTCCTTTCTGTTTATATAGTCACAGTCCTTTTTATTTATTAATTTTTAAAAAATATATTTTATTGATTTTTTACAGAGAGAAAGGGAGAGGGATACAGAGAAACATCGATGAAAGAGAAACATCGATTCACCTGCCTCTAGCACGCCCCCTACTGGGAATGTGCCAGCCACCCAGGTACATGCTCTTGACCGGAATCGAACCTGGGACCCTTCAGTCCGCAGGCCGATGCTCTATCCACTGAGCCAAACCAGTTAGGGCTATTTATTAATTTTTAAAATATGTTTTTATTGATTTCAGAGAGGAAGAGAGAGGAACATCAGTGATGAGAGAGAATCATCCATAAGTTGCCTCCTGCATGCCGCCCCCC